TGGGAGCCTGCCCAGGTATCAAGTTGATAGAAAACAGCGTTTGGCAACTTCAGAAGCACATCTGATGTTGCTAGCAAACATGTGACTAAACCTGGTGTGCACCATGCAATAGCTTTCGCTGCTGCTTTGAGATGCATTATCTTTGTTACAAAGGCTTGTGAAACTTCACCTCGATGGTAGTTAATTGGGTCTGAAGGGCTATGCGCCTAAAACTTTAGTGAGTACACATGCACAGGCTTCTGTCATGTACAGATAAGGGTCCCCTCCGTAACAAGTAGAACAAGCACGTGCTTGAGAACTCTGCCATCCCTCGGTGCAAGGGTCTGCTTTTCTTTTAAGTCCACACTTAAGGTTAAGTTCATATTGAATGTTTATCTGGCAATTCGTGTAACAATTTGCAGCTCTCGCGTGAACTTTGGTTTAAGTCTTTGCTTAAGAATAGGCAAATATTCACAGCTACGATTAGTAACTTCTTGTTTGAAGAAGTAGGAGCACAGTAGGTTATTGAATTCTGTCCCATTTTCCAGTATGCAGTTCGCTGTGGTGTTTGGGATCATCATGCCCATCCCTGTCACCAGTGCAACTGTAGCCAGATCCCAGCCATCACCAAGGCAGAACACTTCTGTAGGCACGCGGGAGTAGTACGGTGACTGGAAACAGCAGTATTCATATAGAAATAGTTGTAATTCATTATCTGGGTAACAAGGGAGAAAGAAGAAAGCTTCAAAGGTGTTCAGGGAAGGTGCTAAAGAAATTGATCTGTTGTCATCTTATTGCTGCAAAAGAGTGTTTAATTGCCTTTGCTGCTCTTCACAGGTTTGCACAGATGAAGAATGAAGTTATTCAATCTCTGGCCTTTTTTATTCTGGCAAGATATCTTTTAATCACTACTGTATGTAATATTTACATAAAGACTGTGCCAAGAACAGTATAAAAGTTGAACTTACGAAGACTGCACAAGTGACAAGCGTCACTTTCTCTGCTGCTCCTGTATGTTTTACTTGGCACATGTTGCTCACGTGACAGTGTCCGCAAGTTGGAAGAAGCTGCATGTTTCAGTGAAAGTGCCATTACTACTGTATATGGACCATACTTTTTTTGTTCTTTCTCCCGTTTCTCACTTGACTGAGAACTGTAATGTTAATATGTAGTATTTTTGAACTCTTTAGGTTCAGAAAAAGGCTGTAGTGTTATCAGGCGTTATGGACCTTGTTTTTAATCTGTTTGTTGAGTGCACTGACTGTGAACTTTTACTGGTTTTTTTTTTTTGTTGTTTATTTGTTTTTGGCGAGCTTCAGATTTGTTATGCACAAGGCTGATGATTAATGAAATTTTAAAAAAAAAGTTTTTTCTCAATAAATGGTTTATTTTAGGAGTTTGTTGGTGCTGGGTTTTTCTTCTGAAAATAAGTTGTGTGGGGTCATGTCACATTTTAAACTTTTTTTCAGTGCTTGTTTAAGACTGCTAAGCTAACATAACTGGAATAAGCTTCTCTCATATTGCAGTAGTCAATGTTTTGTTAAGTTCAAGGTGTAAATAGAATTAAGATTCCCGCCTTGGTCTTCCCCTGAGGAAATAAGGTGATGTGCAAGTCCTGAACACTACCTGTTACATACGTGATGGAGTCAGGGTCTGAAATAACTTTCCTCTGTGAGCAGGGAAAGGTCTGTGTGCCATTTCTGGGGCCAAGGGGAGAATCAGTTAAGATTATTCTTGTGGTCTGTTCAGCAAAACCAAGAATGACCTTACTGTTAAGAGCTTTTTAAAACCAATTTCTGATCCTGGACTTTGATTTCCCCACTGCCTCCCAAGTGTCATCAATCTCAGAAAATGGAGAGAGGTTAGAAGCAGGTAGCAAGTAGGAGAAAGAGTCTGCAACACTTGATCTATTTATATTATTTTGTTTGGCTTGCTATTTCAAACAGATGACTGACTTACAAGTAACAGTTTTAAGTATTAGTGCAAGTTTACATATTCCTCTTACAGCTTTAGACCTTAAAATGGATAACAACTTATAAAGCAGAGAACTTGCTTTTAATGTTTGGCTTTATTCTAAAGTCCTGTCTTTTCTCTTTATCCACACCTCCTTGGTTTGTTGTAGGTGTGGGGCAGCTGGGTGAGCTGTTGGAAAGGTATCAAGAAATGTAACATTTAAATCTAGAAAAGCACAAGGCTCACTGTGCAGGTCACCAGTGCAGTGTATCCAGGCTCTCAAAAAATACAATGCTGAATTTAAACACAGACTTTCCCTTCTCTTTGGTTCTCTATTTTCAGTGATGATAGCAGGGGAAGTACCTTGTCATCCTCAGCAACTGACTATGAAAGTACCTGAGGCAAGAGTTCCCTGCCAGCCTGCTGCGTGCTTCACTTTGTCGTGTATCACAAGTATCGCAGTGGTTTGTGTCCTTGTTTCCCTTGTTTCAGGTGACCTTGTACACAAATATGAACGGAGGACAGCTTTGAGGAGTCAGGATAAAGGTGAGAAGTACAATGTCACTACTTTGTTGTTGCCAACCAAAAGAAAACTCATTCACTGCAGGTCAGCTTTTTATACTTTTATTTTTGTATAAACAAACGTTAAGACTACTTTTGTTAAGGCAGTTGTAGAACATACAGTTGCTTGTGGGGAGGAGGGGCAAACACTGCTTCCTAATGACACATGTCATTCTTTTAATACAGTGAACTGGACTAGTTTAACTTTGGCAAGTACCATTAAGCTTTCTCTGTTTGCCAGTGAACGCTGGAAGGGCCAGTGGTGCAGTCCTTGTGTGCTGGGACTTCTACAAGTGCTCAGGAGGACGGATCCAGGAGTGGCATGTTTGGCCCTTAGCCTGTTCTAATGGTTGGTCCCAGGGAAACGGGTATGAAATAGTCTAAATACTCTTTCCAAAGTATTTATGTGTTTTCCTCTGGGAGAAGTGGCACTGCATGCAGTTGGAGAGGAAAGGACCAAGAATGTTAAATGTCTCCCTACCAGCACGTTAAATCAGTGGCTCTTTAAAAAGGCAAAAGAAGCTAGTGTCTATCACTACATGAATATGTATTTGCTGCTCAGAACTACTCACCCCTGCATATAGGGTTCATCCTACCACCCTGAGAAAAGCCTGCTGTACCTGCCAGGTAAGGTTTACAGTAAGATGCTATTATCTTGGAGACAGCTTTTCTCTCTCCCACCTCACACCCATTTTCAAAGTCTTGTATGCAGAGACTTCAGGCCTGATGCATTACGACAGGATAGCTGGACCTTCAGACACTACTGCAGGTTATAATACTCAGTGTTCCACTGTTAAGATTGTTTTAGCAAATAGAGGTGCAGGGCCATGTGCTTTGTTAAGAGAATAGCTTTATAAGCATGGCAGTATTCTCTGATATCTGGCTCTATTTCATGTGTTTAAAAAAACCCCCACTAAAGCCCATGTTTATGTTCATGGCATCATACAACCTATTCCAGAAAGGTTCAAAGCGTCGGGAATGCATCTGTACACCAGGTGGGTGGAGGAAAAAGCCCCCCAAGCTAGTCCCTCTCACTTCCCAAGGCCTGTTCCTTCCCTCACATTGTAAATTTTACTGCCTCCACTCTCAAAAAACTTTAATTACTGCTCCATGCTAAAAGCTCTTTAGGTGCTACATATTGAAAAGACTAATTTCTAGATGGTCTGATGTACTGAACAGCAAATGCCTATTTCATGGAATGATTTGTATTCTGTTCTATTAGCCCTTATTTCTTCTGGCCTCAGTTTTATTCTAAGAGAGAAACGTGTTTTCTACCAACTGCTAGAACTAAGACTGCTCACTTTCTGCTCTAGAGACACACGGGACCTTCATTCCTAGACTATCATGGTTTGGTCCTATGTGCTATGAAAATGTATCATCAGTGAAAGCGTCAATCGTAAGCCTCACTGCTCAGGATCAGTATCTTTAGATTTCAAAAATACGGGCATTTTCCAGTCATAATTGTTGGTAGTTGGCAGTCCCCTCTTTTTCTTTTCCTGTTTTTTTAAAACTATTTTTAGTAACTTGCATACCCTTAACTCTTAAAAATAAAAGTTTAAAAACAAGAGGAAGCTGCCCTGCAATCAGTACCAGGGATGTCAGAACAACACATTTTTCCCAAGGGGCTTGGTTCTAGTTTTATTTAATTCAGAAGGGTGTCAAAGCAAGTCCAGACAGCCATAAAAACCAAAGCCATACCACTGTTCTAGGTGTCTCTCCTACTTCCCCTCTTCTCCCCAAAAGAAAAGCAAAAGATAATTTAAGTATTACCTCAGGCTGACTGTTATGAGGTACCATGTAAACTAATTTATCAGAAAAGACAGACAAGCAGATTAATTGGGATCACAACAGTATGGGTGTGGGGCATAACTTTTAATGCTCGCTTTGCATTACTTAGTTACAGCATACCCAGATGTTTTGTTTCTGCCATTGTTAGGAACGCCTAGAATTTTAATCAGTGTTTAAAGCTGAAAGGAATTTATTACCTCAGTTTTTCCAAACTATAAATGGCATTTACTCTCAAAAGAATTACAGGTTTCAGCTATCCCTCTGGTGTGTTGTCTGGGGAAAGATGTGGCAGTGGGTAACTTAGCTCAAACAAAGCTCAGGCCCCAAGGCCCAGTTCCACTCCAGGTTATGCTGAAATGGGGCTTAGCTGGGTCTGGCTGAAGTTTTAAAGGGCCCATGTGGTGCACACTGTGGGAATAACTTCTAGACGCAGAAAAACTCTACTGCAAGTCTGTCAGTTCAGTAGAGCTGCTTCAGTCCAATACTGGTACAACCAAGCAGAGCATCTTACTGTATTTAAACAGTTGACAGATTATGGTTGTTAAATTGTTAACATGTGATCTACACAACTATCAATTTTAATCATCTTGTAACAATCTTCTGACATTTATCCATTTCTTAGAGCAAGTTAAGATAGATAAAGCCTGCACCTCTAGTTAGTTTCCAGGTAGAGTCTCATCATAGGAGCACATTAGATTTTTTTTTTTTCCCCTTCAAAACTTAAGACACTTTATAGGAAAACAAACCAACCAAACAAATGCAAACCTGTTGTGGAGAGCGTACAAAGGAATGCATCTTTCAAGCATGGCATCTAGCCCAAACCCCCAGATAAAAATAACAGGAGCACAGATTCAGATATGCATGGCAATTTGCTCGTCCTACCCTTCCTCTGATCTCACTTGAAGGACCATGATGTGCACTTAAGAGTTTTCAGAAGTTGCATTTGTTCCCTTTGGATTGAAGCAGTCTCTGAAGATACTACTTTTGTTTCTGCTTGTTGTCATTGTTGCCATAGGTGGAGCCTTTGTTAATTTCTGTAACACCTATCATCCATCTAACACCAACAGAAGCTGCAAAATAAATAAAAAACAAGTTAAAAGCTGCCTGCAGACAAAGACAGCAGATTTGCACAGGTGTAGCGTTCTGAAAGAGACTCACAGTGGTCTCAACCTTATGGCAGCACAGCACTAAAGGTACCTACCTGTACTGGACCTTTGGTGAAAGGGTCGCCCCTGTATCTAGTACGTCCCACAGTACTTTGTTAAGGAAGATCCCAGTTGCTGGGCTCAGGCTAGGCACATCCTCTTCCCACCAGCAGGGAAGATGCCACCTGAACCAACAGGAGAGCAAGAGGCACAGGCATGATGTGCCCAGCTCTGTTAAACTTTAGGCTAGGCTGGCTGTGAAATGGGGGTGCTTTGGAGCTGCTGGTGTTACCTGGCTCCCAGAAGTCGAGTGACAAAATATACTAATGTGTCTGCTTGCAAGGTGTGATGGGAAAGGAATTCTGCCTGCTTTCAACAGGCCCTGTGCCTGGCAGCGCACAAGCAAATGCAAGGGCACTTCAGATCTTGATTTAAAAAAAAGTTGTGGCATTTTTTTTAACTGCAGCTCATGAAACAGTCCATTATATGAGACCAGGTTAATTTAAAAGACTTTTATAGTTGGTTTAGTTGTAATAATTCACCATGCACAGGGATTTTTTTTTTTAAATATAAATTATTTGTAGGGCCTGAAGTGACTGTTTAACACAACTTAGCCTAAACCCTCCCCTCACAGCAGGTTTGTTTGTTTGTTTTTGTAAAGGGGGGGGGGCTCACCTGCCCAAAAATCTATCATTCCCCAAACTTCTGCTCAGCTACTGTACATACCCAGAACTGCCGCACATCTTTCAGACCCAAACCTACTTGGGAGTCACAAACACCTTGCCTCTGTGCAGAACACTGCCCCCCCCCCCAAAAACCAAACCACCAAGAAAGCCACAAAAGTGCGCTAAGCCACCAAATCCCAGTTTCTTCCTAACTAATGGTGAAAAGGCCCAGTCCTGTGAGGTGCTCTGTCTCATTTCTATCAGTCTTTACCTCCCTAAGATGACCCTGAACAACTCCTCAACAGCCAAAGGACTCTTTATGGTCAAGTCAGATCCTGAGATGACCAAGAGAATGCAGAGGCTTTATCCAACCACCCAGCATCATCTGCCAACAGCGGGGCCGAGACAGCTCCTTGTGTCCTGGCATTTGCTGCTCTGTAGCGCAGGAATGGGAGCGGGCTGTCAGCTGGTAACCAGTGCTGCCCTGTGCTTTACCAGTTGCTTGTCCAACTGTAACCTGGTGCTACCTTATCAGCCATGCAAAACCATCACTTTTTTAAATAGCTACTTCTCTCTTGTGCTTCAAGCACAACAAGTGGAGCACAGACTATTGAACAACTGTTGTAAGTAAGGCAACGTGAAACAGCTGAATATATTAAGTAATCAGCTAGGTTAGAAAGCAGCTCTGCAGAGAAAGACTTGGGCTTCCTGACAGATGCCAGCAGTGGGCCCTTGTGGCAAAGGAGGACAAAGCTGCCCA